CGTGGGCGTGTCGTTTCTATGGAGAGTTTGTTAACGTCACGCTTTCACCTGCTGCAGGTTTCCAAACTCTTCCTGAACATGACCTGAGCTCAGTGTGTCCAATAACAGAGACATGTATAATGTGCTCCAGAAAGAGTTTGAAAACTCCTGGATTGCTGGGACACAAGACAAGACATACCTGTTCAACATTCAGCAAGAAACAGAGGTCACATTAACTCTATGGACAGCGTAAGTCAGATGGGGTGCAAATGAAAGGGACCGAATGTTGTATCTTGAGACAGGCTTTAAAAATGCTAATCAACACAGCACATTCAAAATGCTACTCTGCATCTGCAATGAAAATTGTGTTTGTTATTTTGATTCTTACGGTAATCTGCAGACAGAGCAAAAAGACAGGATTTCTGAATTGTGTTGGTCAGCAACACCCCCAGAGTACTCAAATTATTAACCAAACTGACTAAAATGTGCATCCTTAGCTGTCATACCTGCTGTTTCATTCCAGATTTAACCGACCATCATCTAGCATCATCCATTCAAACCAGAGTGTCTTTCTTCTGGTTCTGTCTGTCTGTCTGTCTTCATATGTATGTCTCATTGCTGTCTGTCTTGTTTTACCTGTAATTTCTGAAGGTACTGATTTATATATCAGATAAGTGTGTGTTTGTTTTTAAGATTTATTCTCAGTTCCACAAATTTTCACTCTCATATATGGAGTCTCTGGCGAAAAAGGTTTCATTCATTCATGCATGCATTTATTTATTTATTTTCTGAAATGTTTCTGCTTTTACTGGTTACCATTCTGACAAAAATCCCTCCCATTGTGTGAAAATGTAGAAGTGAGCTTCTGCTCAAAGAGGCAACAGTGCAGACGAGGAACAAGAAACAACTACATCCTCATTATTCAAGGTAAGTTAATAAATTACAACTTCATGAAAAACATACTTGTATAGATTTAAAAGTGTCATGCATTAGTTTACATTAATTATAGACTTTCAGTATCAGAAAAAAATAAGACTTTGAAATTCAGAGTTTAATCACATCGCAATCCCTAACATTTGAGCACTTAGGTCCACATGTTAAGACTGATTTTCTACAAAGAAGATCTTGAGGAGTGTGGACTAGATGTCAGTGAAGGGTCGGTGTACTCTGGGTTATGCACTCAGATCTTTCAGACAGAAAAGGCTGTGTCAGAGAGAAAAGTTTACAGCTTTGTACATCTCAGTGTCCAGGAGTTCCTCGCTGCTCTCTACGTGTTTTTCAAATACAAATGCTATGGAAGAAACCAATTTCTTAAATCTTGGAGAGAAAAACTGACATGGAAACTCTCCAGAATGTCACTATTTGATCTTCATAAGTCTGCAGTCAACAAGGCTTTACAAAGCAAGAATGGACACCTGGACCTTTTCCTCCGGTTCCTGCTGGGTCTCTCACTGGAGTCCAACCAGAGTGACCTGAAGGAACTGCTGCCAAGGCTGGAAATAAAACCTGAGAATGTGAAAGACACTGCTGACTATATCAAACAGACAATAGAGACGGAGAAATCGGTAGAGAACACCATCAACCTCTTCCACTGTCTGAGTGAACTGAAAGATGACTTTGCAGAGGAAATCCAGAAGAATCTGAGCTCAGGAAATCTTTCAGCACGGCATCTCTCCTCTGCTCAATGGTCGGCTCTGGTGTTTGTGCTCCTGATGTCGGAAGAGACTCAAGAGAAGTTTGAACTGCACAAATACTGCAGATCTGAAGAAGCGCTGATGATACTGCTGCCAGTGATCAAAAACACAAGGAGAGCACTGTAAGAGTCATCTTCACATTGATCTCTAATTTTACAAAGGTGACGTGTGGGGCAAGCGATAGGGCAGGGGTGCCCAATTCTCTTCCCAGAGATCTACCTTCCTGCATAGTTTAGTTTCAACCCTTCTTCAAAACATCTGTCTGTAAATATCAAATGTTTTTTGAGGATTTTAATTAGCTGGTTCAGTGGTAGTTTAACCTGATCTAGATCTCTTTAAACAGGACTGGACCCAGAGTAATTAATAAATGTAAATTCATTGTGTGCAATATTAAATGTTAATGAATATGTATTATCAGACAAGTTCTCATTTCTTAAAATAATTTATTTTTAATTGATCAGTACATAAAATATTGGGTAAACTGTCCTTCTTGGTCTTGCCACACAAAGAGTTATGTTTAATGAAGTATTGAGTATATTTTACTTTTATTACTTTATTGCATTCAAAATCAAGTGCTTTTGTACTTTTAATTTAAAAGTATAAAGTATACATTTAAGCAGCAGTGACCAATCCTGCTCCTGGAGGGCCAACATCCAGCATATTTTAGCTCCAGGTATGTTTAATTTAGCTGGCTCAGGTATGTTTAATTAGGGTTAGAGCTAAACTTTGCAGAACAGTGGCCCTCCAGGAACAGGTCTGGACACCCCTGCATTGTAAATGTAACAAATTTAAAAGGAGTACTTTTACTGGAGTAATATTTTATTAGGGTATCTATCCACCTCTGATAACTGTTTTTGTTTTCCACAGTTTACAGTTCTGTAATCTCACTGGCCATTGTTGTGAGAGTTTGTCATCAGTTCTACAATCCTCAAACTCTGTCCTGAGAGAGCTGGATCTGAATAACAATGACCTGCAGGATTCAGGAGTGAAGCTGCTCTCTGATGGCCTGAAGAGGCCAAACTGTCTGCTGCAGATACTGAGGTTTGTTTTTAACATTGAGTACTTCAGTTAGTTCAAGTACTCATGAGTTATGTATGAGACGATATTGAAGTCATGAGTTTCGTATGAGATAAACTGTGGTAATCTGGGGCCTCATTTATAAAACTCTCCGTAGATTTCATCCTAAAAGAGTACGTACGCTCAAAAGATAGATTTTGCGTATGCACAAGTACACCAGAACCTGTGAAAAAATCGCTTTATAAATCCCAGTCAGGGGATGGTTGTGTGTACGTGCATCTTCTCCCGAAATCACCATATATGGAGCTTACAACGCCTTGTTTTACTATGCATAACCTCATCTGCATATCAATTCCATGCACATTCCCATCCATGTGACACCATGTTTAACACCGTCAAAGATAAAATACATTAAGGAAATATGAGATACGGACTATAAATGCCATTTGTGCCATGCATTCATTTTTATTTCTAAAAATCATCCAATATCCTTGTTATGTTTTAGAATAACTAGATCAAGATAAAAACAAAAATGACAAAATAAAAACTGTTTAAAATCAAATAAATATTTTAGAATAGAGTTGATCTCATTATTTTACACTGGCCAAATAGTAGCCTATTTCAATTGTTTTAAACAGTTCAAATCAAACTAAATTTAATGCAGTTTTGCTGATAAGGTGAATATGTTTTAGCTATTTTGAGTGGAAACAGATTGGCCTATTTATTGCAGTGTAAAATTGTAAGTAAAATTGCAAGTATTTTAAAAAGGAAACGTATAAATCTTACCATTTTTGTCAAGTTGTAGCCTTCAAATACTGTACTTTTCATAATGTTGTAGAGATGACTTCACACAACATCAACACCTCCGTGTAGCTGCGGTTGTACAGTAAGATATTATCATTGGTCCCATTCAAACTGGATAATGGACCATTCGACCACCGAATCCAGCAGTGTCCACCATAATAAAAGTAAGTGCGCATAATTGATCATTGTTCTCGCTAAAAAATATTTTCTCAACATGAAATCTGCAGTTCAGTTTAAAGATGAATTATTGTGCACCTATAGCACTCCTCGCTGTCAATAAAAGAGGAAAAGTGATCAAGCGCATCCACTACAAATATGTCTAAATTCATATAATTTTGGTTTAAGTTTTGCGTAATGACTTTATGTAATTTCAGTCCTTATCTCCATATGAGAGTGGAATATTTAATGAAAATGTATATATCGACATAAAGACAGAGAAATATTTTCTCAACATGAAATCTGCAGTTCAGTTTAAAGATGAATTATTGTGCACCTATAGCACTCCTCGCTGTCAATAAAAGAGGAAAAGTGATCAAGCGCATCCACTACAAATATGTCTAAATTCATATAATTTTGGTTTAAGTTTTGCGTAATGACTTTATGTAATTTCAGTCCTTATCTCCATATGAGAGTGGAATATTTAATGAAAATGTATATATCGACATAAAGACAGAGCTTAAAATCATTGTTTTTACTTCATTCATTTTCTCACTCCAGGAAAAAAGTTCGTAAGCATGGGTCAGAGTTTGCGTGCAGGTGTGCAAATTTTCCCCGTCTAGTTTGTTTTTATAAATCCCACCTTTTGTACAGAAAGTGGCATACGCCTCTTTCAGGGCTGGTTTTGTGCGTACGCAACGGTTATAAATGAGGCCCCTGGTCATTCTTTCAAAATAAACACTGACAGGATGATCAGGACCCTGGGCTTGGATTTTTTGCAGTAATGACGGGATAATCATACATTATTATGTTTATTACATGAGTACTTACAAAATAAATATATGAATATGAAATATTGATTTGGGTCTATATTATTTTATTACTGGAACATAGACAGTGTGGAGTGATATGAGAGATATGAAACTAGCACAGCTACTGTGTGTCAGAAAACAATAAACTTTTTATGTGATCATTGTTTCAGTGAAAAGTCATTATAGAGCTGTATTTTATCACAGGATAACCACATTGACCAATTGCAATCCAATTTCTTATTTCTGTGTGCATTTGTAATAGGTGTGTATCATGATTCATACAAATTTACAAAGAAAATAGGAAAGCGAAATTCAAAGAAAGGGGAGATATTATTGTGTGTTCTCAGAGTATTTCCGATTTGTAATTTCAGTATATATGAAATTACATATAAATGACTTTGTTTACATTTTTATATTAGATTACCATGTTGTAATGTCACTGCTCAGAGCTGTGAGAGTTTGTCATCAGCTCTACAATCCTCAAACTGTGTCCTGAGAGAGCTGGATCTGAGTAACAATGACCTGCAGGATTCAGGAGTGAAGCTGCTCTCTGATGCACTGAAGAGTTCGAACTGTCAGCTGCAGACACTGAGGTATTTAAGAGGGTTGGGTGTATTGGGAAAAACATAGTACAATGACAATCCCTTGTAAAAAAGTTTATAAAATTAGATAATCAAGATTAATAGAAAGTTACAGGCAGGTGAGTTTGATCGTGGTTGAAGCTAAACTCTGCAGGACTGTATATCTCAAGAGCCATAGTTGAGAAACCCTGGTATAGATGGTGTGCAGTTAGCTCTGCTCTTTACTGCCCCTTGTGCTTTAGAACATTACTCAAATGACTGTACATTTGCAGCAGTGACTATATTAAATTTAGTGGTTTTCTTTAAATATTTTTTTTTATTTAGTTGCAGTGTTAGGGTGACCAGTCATCACGTTTTCCCTGGGACATTCCTGTATTTCATCTTTCCAAAAAAGCAGAGTTTTATGCCTGTCTGGTATGTCTACATCCATGGAGCGCGTGTTCTCGTTAGTGAATGCATCCTGGACAACAGAACAATCTCGACTAACAGCAATGAAGGCAATGCTTTTCGTTTTTATAAGACTACATCAAATTCTTATACACCGTAGGGGCCAAAAGTAGTGGATATTTCTCAATACTTGCCTTTAATAACCCTGCAGAAAAATAAAATAAATAAATAAACCTTGGAAAAACAAAAGGTTCACAGGAAATAAAGCATACATTGAATACAAGATTATAATCAGTTATTAATATTTCGCTGCTTCTCCCTTGTTTTTGATCCGAGCACAACATGCTTACAAAATCCTTAATAATAAAATGTTTGAATACAGGGTGAAGATGTCCATCTTCCTAGGCCGGACATCACTTTTGGGCCACTACTATAGCTAACATTAGCTGTCCGTCCTGTATCAACTCAAAGAAATCTGGTCACCCTATCTAGTGTAATATAGTATTTAAGCATCTGATTATTCAGAAATCTTTTTTTATATCTTCCCACATACATATACATTCAACGCATTCAGAAAATATTCAGACCCCCTTCACTTCTTTCAATTTTATGTTACAGCCTGATACTACAGTCGTTTAAATAATTCCCCCCCCCCCTCATTAATCTACACTTAGAACCCCATAATGACAAAGGAAAAACAGAATTTTAAAAATGGCTGTAAATGTAAATTTTAAAAAGAAAAAAAACTGAAACATCACATTTACATAAGTAGTCAGACCCCTTGCAACAACTCTTGATATTTAGCTCTGGTGTGTAACAGATTATGTAAATTCTTTGTTTATCAGTCTGTAAAATTAATCAATCAGAATTGGGGGTCTAAGTAGGCCTCTGGGCTCTGGAATATAGAAAGGACTATACTAATGCACTGTAGCTGTGTGTTTACGTATTTATATTGTTGTTGTTTTTTTGTATTAAGTTATGTCTATTTTACTGTTTGGTTATTAATTGGTGTGGAAGTGTATTAATGTGAGACAGTACACGCTGTGAGATGCAAGACCATTTTTGGAAGAGATTCCAACAATAAAGTGTAATTGAGTTGAATTGAATGTACAGTTAACTGGTCACAATGTTGATGTGTGTCTGTAGATGATCTGATTGTGTGTGTGTATGTGTGTGTGTGTGTGAGAGAGTGTGTGTGTCTGTAGATGATCTGACTGTCTGTAGATGATCTGACTGTGTGTCTGTAGATGATCTGACCGTGTGTGTCTGTAGATTGTGTGTCTGTAGATGATCTGACTGTGTGTCTGTAGATGATCTGAGTGTGTGTGTCTGTAGATGATCTGACTGTCTGTAGATGATCTGACTGTGTGTCTGTAGATGATCTGACCGTGTGTGTCTGTAGATTGTGTGTCTGTAGATGATCTGACTGTGTGTGTGTCTGTAGATTATCTGACTGTGTCTGTAGATCTGATTGTGCGTGTCTGTAGATGATCTGTCTGTGCGTGTCTGTAGATGATCTGTCTGTGCGTGTCTGTAGATGACCTGACTGTGTGTGTCTGTAGATGACCTGACTGTGTGTGTCTGTAGATGACCTGACTGTGTGTGTCTGTAGATTGTGTGTGTCTGTAGATGATCTGTCTGTGTGTGTCTGTAGATGATCTGACTGTGTGTGTCTGTAGAGTGTGTGTCTGTAGATGATCTGAATGTGTGTCTGTAGATCTGTCTGTGTGTCTGTAGATGATCTGACTGTATGTCTGTAGATGATCTGTGTGTGTGTCTGTAGATGATCTTTCTGTGCGTGTCTGTAGGTTGTCTGGCTGTATGGTGACGGAGGAAGGCTGTGGTTATTTGTCTTCAGCTCTGAGTTCAAACCCCTCACACCTGAGAGAGCTGGATCTGAGCTACAATCACCCAGGACAATCAGGAGACCAGTTGCTCAAACACAAACTGGAGGATCCAAACTATAAACTGCAGATACTCAAGTATGTTCGGCAGTGATATGTTGATCTGTGTGTGAATGATGCAGATCTACATTAATGTGTGTTTGTGTGTTAATAGTGTGGATCATGGAGGAGAGATCATGATGACAGCAGGACTGCTAAAGTGTAGGTCTACAAACACACTCACTCAGCTAGTGACTGTTATTTTGTTATTGACATTTCTCTCTTCTTGTGTTCAGATGCCTGTGATCTCACACTGGATCTAAACACAGCAAACTCTTATATCAGTCTGTCTGAGGAGAACAGGAAGGCTATATTTGTGAAAGATCATCAGTCGTATCTTGATCATCCAGAGAGATTTGATACATGGTGTCAGGTTCTGTGTGTTGAGAGTCTGACTGGACGCTGTTACTGGGAGGCTGAATGGAGTGGATATAATGCTGAAATAGCAGTGTCATATAAAGGAATCAGCAGGAAAGGAGGAAGCTGCTGTTCGTTTGGATACAATGACAAATCCTGGAGTCTGATCTGCTCTGATAAAAGATTCTCTGTCTGGCACAATAAAAAGCGTACCGTCATATCTGCCCCCTTACTGCTGTCTAATAGAGTAGGAGTGTATGTGGATGTGTCGGCTGGCACTCTGTCCTTCTACAGTGTCTCTGACACACTCACACACTTATACACATTCAACACCACATTCACTGAATCCCTCTGTGCTGGATTTAAGGTTTATTTGAACTCTACAGTGTCTCTGTGCCAGATTACACAGATCTGTGCACGGCCATGAGAACATGTTTTATGAGGGTTGGGAATTAAACAGAATCCCTATATTAAACAGCCAACATATTTCTATACTTACAGATGAACATGAATGAGGACGGAGTTATATGCGAACAGACAGAACTCATGACTAAGAATAGCTATAATGCTAACGATTTTAGTATGTACATAAATGAATGATAATGTTGTTTAGTCCAAGTGTGCGTCAGTTATGTTGTGCGAACATAATTGCAATGCACACTTTAAAATAGCAAGGTTTTTGCTTGGCTGTCAATGTTTTTATTGTTTATCAGCTGAAATAAAAATACTGTGAAAGTGATTCCAATGATATTGTTCTAGTTTTGGTGTTGACTATTCTATTAGAATTTACATTATTTAAAAAAAAAGTTATTGTATAGTTATTGTTCTTGGTGTAAAAGTCTACAAAATGGTTAGTCGTGCTGTTCTCAAAGAAAACACAGCTGGTGAAGCTGGTTGGTCTTGCAGGGTTGAGTGTGAGTAGGTCAGCAGTCTGTATGCATTGTTTTTGCTTGTATATTTCACAATGATGTAAAGGAAAAACAATATAAGATTAAAACGTGATTTATTGTAATATATGATAACTTTGTAATTTATTTGGCCCCTTCTGTTGAAAGTAGAATGAAAAATATGTTTCATTTATGATTATATTATTAATCAATGTCATCCAAATTTCAAATAAAGAAAAATTCAAACTAATAAAACATTTTAAAGGATAAATGGATTTGTCTCCTTTTTTAAAATGATCTGTACGGTTAAAAAAACAGTTAAAATGATCTTGTGTATATTGCAAAACAAAAACATTCAGAGATATGAAAACAAATAAAAATACCAACTAAAAGTGTAATCATACGTAATCAACAACAGCAATTATGAGAAGATCTCTTTCAATGGTACAGTTAATAACTTAAAAGTTTAGAACTGAAAGTTGTTGTTTTTGAAGAATTTCATTTCATGCTCATTTGGAAACTCGCGTGTCAAAATCCAGATATCAGTCACTGATTCCAAAAAGTGCACATTGTAAAAGTTACGTCTTTGCAATCAGGAGCGTGAAATATTGTAGACGATAGTAATAGAATGACCTTTCAACAATTCCTGAGAGAGAATTAATTTAACCGAAGCCAGTGACCGGACACTAATCACCTTAATGGTCAAATAGACTCCAACAGCGTTTGTACATGCACCGTTGTTTAAGCATCCTCTGCTGAGATACCACTGATTTATGTTTTTTGCTGTGTGTCTCTGTGATTCTGTTTATTAGCTGTAGGTGTCATCACTTATTATCAATCATCACTTGAAGATTGAATCTTGTTTATTTCACTAACTGCAACACTGCTTATGTGTTACATTTAGTCTATATAGATTGGGATGATGAAGATGAACACTATTTTGCTGTGTAGTAATAAACTAGTCTGGTATAAAAAGGTGATGGAGACTTCTGGTGGCAAGCGGGAGGAATGATGGGGACCGTATTCATGACAGTGTGTGTGATTAATAATTTATTAAAATTAATTGGATAAATGTCTTGGTCTTTGTTTAACTATAACACACACTAAGAAACATAAGATGTAACTCATACAGGAGTTTTGTTGTGGTCTTGCTGAGATCATACCAGCACCCAAAAGACAACATATGCTGGTCCAGCAGCACACCTGCGTCCCATGCCGGTCCCAGAATTCAGAACACAGCACGTGCTGGTGAGCAGCAAAGCAGGATTCTTCATCAGGGGCAGGAGAGAGGGATAACATGTCTGGTGAGATGGGCTGTGCCTGTGTTATTGGAGGCTAAAGCTTCCCTGTTTTATTTATTTATTTACTTTCTTATTTTATCCAGGAGGTTGTCCTTGGGGTACCAAATCTAGGAGCTGTTCCAGTTCATCACAGTCTCTCGGTAGAAAACTTTGTTGGCAGGACTCAGCTTGGTGTTATTGTTGTTGTGGGATTTGTCATTCAGGTGCTGATGTGCAGTCCTGAGGTCATTCAAACCTGTGTTTGCAGTCGGCATTTCAAATGGGATGACTAAGCAAAATGCTGTGGCGTAGCGGTAAGAAAGTGTTTGCCATAGTGTTACATTATTACTATAATGCACTTAGCCAAAGTTAATAATCCTCTGTCGAGCCGACTGTCTGTAGGCGGGGATATAAAAGTGTGGAAGCTCCAAATGTAGCATGCTGAGGACATCTGTTGGTTAAATGCAACAAGAATGGCAAAAACTGAGAAGGGTCTGTCTGCGGACTGCAAGAGAGGAACTGGAAGGGGCCGTAACTTGAAGTTGTCCTAATCACACAGAACCATATGAGACGTCAAAACAAGATCTTGTTGGCAAGATGGCCGCTTGTATGGAGAATGTTTTCCCCCAAAATAACAGTTTAAATTGTGTGTTAAAGTCTGTAAGTCATTTTCATACAGTGGTGTTTATGGAGTTAATAATCTATTAAAACTAAGGTGTAAATTTAAGCAATATATAAGCAAAAGGTGTAAAGACGCTATCCCCTGGTTTCACAGACAAGGCTGGTCAAGACTAGTCCCAGACTAATGCATGTCTGGGCTGTTTTAACTGAAAGCAACTTGAACTGACTGATCTTAAAAAAAAAAAAAAAAAAAATTCTCAAGATGCACATCAGTAGTGTTTTAATCCAAGGCACGTTTATAAAAGCTACTTAAATATCCTAATTGAACTCTGGCTTAATCTAAACCCTGTGACCTACAGAATATAGCATATTTGTGATATTGCTGTACAAACACGTTTTATAATGCATAACTAACAGGAGCTCCATTAAGTACACGCAGAGGTGTAAAATCCAGGTTCAGAAAGTAAAAGTCCTCCACAGTATTGTGTTCCAATCACCTGGATTTGCTAATTAGCACAGTTTTTCAGCCAGGAGATCAGAGATGAGACCAAGTCATTCCTTTCAAGTCACAAGCAAGTCTTCAAGTCATATCCCAAGTCCTCAAAGAGTTAAAGTTAATGAGATAATTAAGTGACTAATTAAATGCTGATTGAGCATTAGTGATGAACACCTGCTGTTAACAATCAACATCACTGAAGAAAAGAGAAACACAAGATCTGACTTCAGCCGCAGCCTTAGATGAAATCAACTGAAAAGAAAAAAGAAATCTCTCAAGATCTGATTAAACAACTCCACAAACAGCATCACCAGCTTCACTCATTACTGACCAGACTGACTTTATTTTATGTCTGCAGAATCTCTTATTGAGAATTAACAGCGGTTTAGATGTTGATGTTTTATTGGTCAAGAAAAAAAAAAACACTGACACCATTATTGTGGCCAGTGTTTGCTTTAGTTTGTCTCTTGACTCTTTTAGGAATTCAAAGTAATTTGCTTTTATACGATTGCAATATTGTTCCACAACAAACATTTGTGCATTGCTGAACTGAACCTTGAAGTAGCAGATGAGCTTGATTCTGCTTGTAACTCATGATTAATGAACATCATGAAGTGCTCTTGCTTTGGTTTATTGACGGACATTCAGCTATTACTGAAGAGCAAAAAAATCTGATTAAACAAATGCCACCATAATGCTTCAATATTGAAAACAATTTTGTGTCAGGCTTTTAGACATGAACACTTACCATATGATCCTCAACAGTGGTGATAATTATTCATACTGCAGTGCATGATGGGAGTTTTTACTATGGTGTTACCCAGCATGCATTGCAGCATGAATCATGTTGTTGATTGTCACCATTGTTGAGATTCATATGATCATTCTTGATGTCTAAACAGCACATGAGCTTACATTTTTAGGTTATAACATATCACGTGAAGTATAATTGAATTCACAATAACTACTAGAACAGTACATTGCTCACATGCTGTAATTTCACAGAACTAATTATGCAAAACCTAAACATATAATCAAAATAAGTTATTTTGATTGTGATCATGCCCACTCATGATGACCACCTCATCATATAAACACAGTTATTATCTCCTCACTGTGCAGCACTAACATCACTGTGTTACATCTTCTCATGCATCGCTACAGAGAGAGATCTAACACAGGTGTCAAGGGTCAAGAGCACAACTAAAGCAAACACTGATCTTCATGATGGTGCCATCATTTTAACCAATAAAACATCAACATCTGATCCTCTGTAATTCTCAATTACAGCAGGTGTTCATCACTAACGCACAATCATCATTTAATTAGTCACTTAATTATCTCATTAACTTTAACTCTTTGAGGACTTGGGATTTGACTCCAGACTCGTTTGTGACTTGAAAGGAATGACGTGGTTCCTCCTCTGCTGAAATCAGCTGCTGAGTTCATGGGTGGAATAAACATATGGCAGGACTTTTACTTTCTGACCCCTGGATTTTACACCTCTGTTTATCAGGGTAGAGTAACAATGCTGACAATGCGGTAGCCGGTAACAGAATTGACAGTCCATCGGCCAATTCTGCCAATTCTGTTACTTTACAGTTCTGTTACTTACAGGGTCAACTCTGTTAATGAACTATTTTCACAAAAAAAATGTTGTTTAAAATCCTAGTAAACATTATTGATTTATTTTTGCACTCATAATATTTCAACAACATTTATTTTTTTAACTGGATATTGTATAGAATACATTTTCAGGTGAAAAATATTTGCTTCAAGTGGACGGTTCTGTGAAGACATAGTTTTTTTTTTTAAAGGTATGCATAGGTGAAGTATTATCTGTTTCAAGTGATGGAATGTAAGGACTGTTTGTCTAATGAAACAAGAAGGATCTTTCCTGTTATGATTTATTGTTATTTCTACACGTTGGCTAATTTGTCCGTAACAGAGTTGACAAACAATACCATAAAGACATCTGCTTTTTCATTAAAAGTAAAAAAAAAAGGAAGTAACTTGTGTTTGGCAAGCACTGAATTATTAAAATTAAATATGTTTTCAATAAGATACTGAAAAAAAAATCTGTTAGTGAAAAGTTTTTTTCTTACCTTTCTGCAATGCCAAATGTATCTCCAATTATAGAATC